CTTTAAATCACCCCTTTTTTAAACTTATAGGACTTTTTAAAAAATGGATAAGTACAGATATAAAGTATTTTGCATGTATGTGACCATTTGTCATTCCTAGTGCCTTCCTGTCGACCCAAGCATCTTCTGGCATTTCTTGTGGTGCAGTTCTGCTGGCAAGATATTCTCTAGCTTTTGTTAATCTGAGAAGTGTCATTTCACCTTCCTTTTTAAAGAACCCTGGCTATGGAATTTAGGGAAGATCATTTTGTTTTGTTTTGTTTTTCTTCATGCCCTGTAATGGCTTCACAGATTTCAGCCCTCTGGCTGCCCCAAATGTTTCATTGCTTTGGATGAGAACCCAGTATTGTATCATTCCCATGCACACCATGTGTCTTGCTTCATGGCTGCTTTCAAGATTTCCCTTTTCGTCTATGGTTTTCAGTACTTTAACTGTCATGTGGTTAGGTGTTTTTTTTTTGTTTTTTTTTTCTTAACCTGATTGAGCTTTGATCTATAAATTGAAGCTTTTTATGAAAATTGGAAAATCATCAGCCATTATTTTTCCTTGACCATTTTCATTTTCTCCTCCTTCTGGGGCTTCCATAAGGTAGAGAGTTTGATAACATCCCATAGGTCCCCGAGGCTTTGTTCATTTTTGTTCAGTCTTTTTTCTTTCTCTTAGTCAGATTAGATAATGTCTATTGATCTGTCTTCTAGTTCACTGACTTTAAAAAAATTTTCCAATCTTCTGTTAAGCTTATCCTATACATTTTTCATTTGAGCTATTGAGCTTTTCAGTTCTGTGTTTTCTATTAGGAAATAGAAAATATTCTACTTTATATATTATAATTTCCACTTTCTACTAATCAGTTCCTGTCTGCTCACCCATCAAGATAATTTTTTTGTAATTATTTGAATACATTTTCCTTTCATTTATTGAATATATATAAATAGCTTCTTTAAAGTCTTTATCTGATATGTTCAACATCTGTACCATTTTGGGGTGAGTTTCTATTAACTGCTTTTTGTCTTTTTTTTTTTTTTTTTTTAAGTGAGAAAGCCAGATTTATTGAGAGGACAGAGAAGCTCCCACAGTGGGAGGGGACCTGAAGACCTGAAGGGATTGCCCTGCTTTTTCTCTTTTGACTGTGGGTCATATATTCCTGCTTCTGTGCATGTCTAGTAATTTGTTGTTTGTATGCCAGACGTTCTAAATGATACATGCTGGAGACTCTGGATTCTGTTATTTTTCTCTGAAGAGTGCTTTTATTCTAGCATGCAGTTCAGTTACTGGCTGTTGCCCTTGAGCTTGTGAAGGTTTCGCTTTGGGATTTCTTAGGATGGATTTATAGAAGAGTCATTTAGTGTGGTAGAACTCAAGTTCCAAACTCTGCCTCCCCTTCAGACATTGTCAGGGCTTAGCTTCTAGCTTTGTTACAGTAGGTCTGAGGTAGGTCTTATTCTAAGGCAGAATCCTTACTCCTGAAATGAGGCCATTCTGGCAGTTCAGGTGGATGTAGGTTGTCACGTGGTCTTTGCACTTGGGCCAGTAGGTCCTCTAGCACTGCTGACCTTTCAGGCCTATTCATGTGGCCCCACAGCTCTGGTGAGCCCTGTAGAGGTTGCCCTGAATGTATACAGTCCAGACCTCATACAGTAATCCATGGGAACCCACACATAGTCTTCAGCCCCCCAGTCCCCACTCCCTCCATTCCTTTGCCTTGCTGGCACAGATTTCAGCTCTCTGGCTGCCTCAAATTCTGGTCTCTGCCTCCTCAGCTTAACATACCTGTGATGTTTTACCTGGAATTTATGGCCAGGGCATTGTTCCCAGGCAGAGAGCTACAGGGGCTTTTGGGAGACTCACCTTGTTGGCTGCCCTTCTCTGCCTGGTGTCCCATGCCTATAAACAGTTGCCTTATATAGTTTGTCTCCTTTTATGGTTGTTTGCATCATGTTTGGCACTAGTTCCTCTGTTGTAACCACTTTCCTCTTGTTCTGGCTTTATGAATGATAAGGCTGTATATCGGCTGAACAAATATTTATGCTCTTCATTGAGAATTGTACTGATACCATGGTTGCATATTGTAAATAGTCTTACTTGATGCTTTTGGCCCTGAATCCAGTTTGCCTATTACTAAGAGGGAACCCCTGTTTCTCTAGTTTGCATTCTCCTGGAATACCTCTGCCAGTTGTTCCTTTGGAGTATCTTATGCATAGCACAGACAGATGTGGACTTAACTTTGGATCCAATCACAAAACTGTTGAGTATATTTGTATGTTTTGTATTATTTTGTGCTGACATACAGGACCAATCCTAGGAAACTAAGGCACCTACCATCAAGTGGGCAAGAAGAAGGAAACGATGGTATTTGTGTTACTTGTGGTGGGATGTCAGATTCAGATCATCTCTCAGGTGTGAGGGTGACTGTTGCATCTTTGGCCCCAGAGGACAAAAGATGAGCTAAATCAGTGAACTTAGCCACCATCCCTTCTTTTTCAGTTCCTTCCCATATTTCAGTTAGTTACATAACCGGTTCTATAGCCATAATCCCCATGTTATTTTAGACCTAATCCTGAAGGTAAGTAGATTCAGTGTTCTCTGCCAGGCCATTTTCTATAGTTCTCCAGTTATCTCTCACAGAACCAGAGTTAATCTTCCAGTCCCTCAAGAAGAGCTTATGGGAGCAATATTTTTTGAGTTCTTACATGTTCAAAAATGTCCATCTGTTGTTTTTATATTTGAGTGACAGTTTGGCTGGATATAAAATTCTTGGGCCACACTTCCCTATGTGGCCTTTAGGGGCCTCACTCCACTGTCCACTGGCATAGCTGTGGCTGTGGAGCTTCCAAGGACAGGCTAAACTTCACCCTCATCATGGACGGGATCTTTTTGCCTGTCTACCAAAAGGACTTTTCTAGTCATCAAGTTCAATAATTTTACTAGAGCGTATCTTACTCATAAGATTAAGATTGGACTTAGATCATAAGAATCAATTTCTAGAAATTAAAACTCTTTTTCTAAATCAGTGGGTATTTGCCCTCAACCTGTCTTTTATGTCTGCTGTTTTCTCTGCAGTTCATTTTAACTCTTTGCTTTTCTTTCCTTTTTGCTCTCGTTCTGCCATTCCTGTCTCTGTATCCCTTGCTGTCTTTTTCTGCTGTTGTTAATTCCTCTTCATTCTTTTTTTTGTTTTGTTTTTTGAGTTGGAGTCTCACTCTGTCGCCCAGACTGGAGTGCAGTGGCCACTCCCGGCCACCGCAACCTCAACCTACTGGGCTCCGGCGATCCTTCCGCCTCAGTCTTCCGAGTAGCCAGAATTACAGGTATGCGCTACCACGCCCGGCTGATTTTTTTTTTTATTTATTGTAGAGATGAGGTCTTGCTGCCCAGGCGGGTCTCGAACCCGCAGGCTCAGGCAATCCACTCACCTCAGCCTCCCAAAGGCGCGGGATTACAGGCTGAGCCACCGAGCCCGGCATTCTTCTTCATTCTTTGGGTTTTGTCTTCTGCTTCCTTTCTGAGTCCTTCCAGGTCAGATTTCTTCCTCTGTTTTTCTTCTGTGGGTTCCTGTTTTATAGAGGTGCTTTACAAAGGTCACTAAATTCATTACTTTTTTTTGTCTTGTTAATTTATGGCAAAACTGCTTGGTGGTGGTTTCCATCGACTTCTGATGAATGTTTTGTTGTTGTTGTTGTTTGCTTGTTTTTGAGCTGGAGTCTCACTTTTTGTTGCCCAGGCATGCTCACAGCCACCACAGCCTCGACCTGTTGGGCTTAGGTGATCCTTCCACCTCAGCCTTCCAAGTAGCTGAAACTACAGACACACGCCACCACGCCCGGCTAGATTTTGTGATTTATTATAGAGACAAGTTCTCATCAAGTTGCCCAGGCTGGTCTCGAGTCTCCAGACTCAGGCAGTCTTCTCACCTCGGCCTCCCAAAGTGCTGGGATTACAAGCTGAGCCACTGAGCCCAGCCGATGAATGTTATGAAGTGTTCTTCCTGCTTCTTTGCTTTCTTCTCTATGTGTTATCTTTATGTGATGCATGATTCTTAGCTGAGAGCTACATGGCTTGGCTAGGAGACACTTAAAGAAAAGAGTGTGATGGAATGCTTGTGGTGTTGGGGCTGGTGTGGAAGGAAGTGGCTGTTGCTGGTTGTCACCATGATGGCAAAGTGCCTCTGTCATTCAGTGAGTGGGCAGAGGTGCCAAACACCATGCAGCATGTGGGACAGTTTTGTAGAACTGCTGTGACTACAGAGGCAACACTAATCTCCCAGGAGCTCCTTGCTCGCTGCAAGAGGCACATGTCAAGGGATCAGGACACGAGGCTTCCTACTCACCCCTGATGAATGTGGAGCATTTTGCCCAGAGAGAAGGCAGCTCTCTGATGGCCCCTGGCACACAGAACGTGCCTGTGTGATTCCTTGTCTTGTGTCACATCCCATATCCTTCTCAGAACCTTTGTCCTGCCATACCCTACTGGGCACCACCCTGAGCAGCCCTTCAACTCCCACAGAGTTTTGGGGTATCCTTTACTTCTTGGTTTTGCTGAAGACATAATTTGCATTTCTCCTACTCCTCTGCTTTGGGGTGGTTGCTAAGGCTTCTCCAGAGAAATGCCAATGTTATGTTGTCATCAAGCAGGGAAGGTGCTTCTTACAAGGGCTAGAGTGTGGTGTCTTCCTGGATGAGGACCCAGGACCTAGCCCTACTGAGTCTCTCCTGGGACTGGGACCTCACTGTCTTTGGGTCACTCTGATGGGGGAGGAATCAGTCAGAGAGTAGTCCAGGGAGCAACTGGGTAGGGCTGAGACCACTCTGAGGGAAGGACTTAAGTTGTCCGTGGCATTCTGAGGGCTCAGTCAGAAGCATAGGAGCTCCCAAGAAGGAGGTCAGCCGGGCAGAAATATGCAGCTGTTGTGTCCTGGGCCTGCATCTCTCCTGGTTCTGGCTGCAGGGCAGGGTGCCTGGGCCAGCACCTAATGCTTCTTCCTCTGCCTTCACTTTTGCAGGTACATAGAACTCATGAACTCACCAATCCTGGGGTTGCTGAGGTCACAATCCGGCCAGACCGCAAGATCCTGGCCACCGCGGGCTGGGACCATTGTGTGCGTGTGTTCCACTGGCAGACTATGAGGCCACTGGCCGTGCTCGCCTTCCATAGTGCCACTGTCCAGTGTGTGGCCTTTGCGAGAGATGGCTTGCTGGCTGCAGGCTCTAAGGACCAACGCATCAGCCTCTGGTCACTCTACCCACGCACATGACTCACCTGTTCCCTCCTCAGGAGATGCAGGGGCAGGGAGCAGGTACCAGACTCCAACCTTGACTGGAACTGTCCCTCAGGGCCTTTGAGGATCAGCAAATTGTGGCTCAAGGACTATGGAGTCCTCACTACCTTCAACTTTTTCACTATTTTCCCTTGGTGAAATACACTATCACGTCACAGTGACTGGGGTAAGGGATGCTGGTTTGGTCTGGTTGCGTTGCCAGTCTGAGAATATTTTACAATAAATTTTCTATTGCAAACCTGCAGGATTCAGTGAAAACTCCCCAAGGAGTGTCCCCTGGTCCCACGCTTAGAGTCTGAGCCCATAGATTCCCCCTGGACAGGCCAGTTGGCCCCATTCTCACCCCTGCTATCGAATCCCTAAGCAAGGATCCCAGGGCCAGGCTTTGGGAGACCCTAGGCCCCAAATGCAGCTGCCTGTGTCATCACACAGCCCCTCACCCCAGAGAAGCTGGAGTACCTGACACACAGGATGCAGCCAGGATCAGAAAGAGGAAGTACTGGACTCCCTAAAGAATGAGACAGGAACAAGTGCTGGTGAGGGGCGAGAGGGGGCTCGTGTGCAGGGCCTGGCCAGACTCAAGATCAGGAGGGAAGGCTGGCTCTCCTGGCTTGGGGGAGTCTGAGCAGAAAGCACTAAGGCACTGCTGGGTGAGATGGACAGGGCCATCCCAAGGTCCTGGGCCACAGTGAGCCATATCCCACACAGAGCAGCCATAGGACATGGCCCAGTAAGAATGGGGACTTGGCCACAGAGCAGGTGGCTCAGAGCCCTGGTGGCATGTGGCCAGCCCAGCCTGGCCAGGCATCTGCTCCTGAAGTCAGGTGTGAATTGGGAAGGAACCAGGACCCAAATGTTGGGTGGGGCCTGGGACAGACACGAAGAAACCAGGGATCACAGACCCCCGTGTCTGCCCTTGGTGCCGGAAGAACTCCATCCCACCTGACGCATCCTCTCCAAGTCCCAGGCAGCTTCCCCAAGGCAGTTCCCCACAAGGACCCCTAATGTTCCCTGAGTCCAGCGGGCCCTGGGATGGGATGCAAGCATGCCCTGGGGGGCTGCTCTCTAGCAGAACGACCCGGTGCTTCCCTGTCCAGGCAGAAATCTGGAGACCACACATGGGCCCTCGAAAGGGTGTGTATCCAGGCGGCTGAAGTGTGCATGGACCAGTCAGTCCATGAACAGGTCTGCCAAGCAGGAGGCTGGCCTGGGTGCTGTAGCTGGGGATGAGTGACCCTTTGGCTGCTGGGATGGCAGGGGTGGCTAGACTGACACACTGACCAGAGGACAGCTGCACTGAGTGTGTAGGCACACTCTGCACCTGGGTGTACACAGAGGGAGCTTCCAGGGTCTGGCAGGTTGGCATGCGGAGGACTGTCACGTGAGCCCTGCTGTGAGAAACAGAGGTGCTGGGGGAGCTGGCATCCTTAAAGGGCCCTGTGGCCACTGCTGTTGTTGGTCAGAAGTTACGGTGGGGACCATGCTGCCAAATGGGATGTCATTGCTTGCCAGGAGGGTGACCCCAGGCCCGAGCTTGGGCACTGTCCTGGCCTCGTTAGTCCCATTGGATGGGTGAATGCCAGGGGTCATAGGCCCTTGGGAGGACCACGCTGAGTCTCGCGTGTCCTGTAGATGGCCACCAGGATGTTGGAGACACACCTAGAGGTACTTTCACATCACTTCAATGTCAGGGAGAAGAGAGGCCTTGGTCTAGGCTGCAGTGATGGACCCTCATTAGGGCTGAGGGAGTCTGGGTGCTCACCACAGGCCAACTCCACCAAGCATGGGAAGGTATCAGGTTCTGATGTCCTACAACTGTGGTGGGTGCCTGGGGTGGCAGGAGGGAAGGGGTGCCTGCTCTAAGTTCCCCTCCATGCCCAGCAGCCCTGCCTGAGACTCCTCTACACCTCCAGAAGCCGTTAACTTTGCCTGCCCTGCCTCAACACCAACCCTATGGGCACTGCCACTGCAGCCTTGGGCACTGCTGGATGCAAGCCAAGGCCCATTTCTGCCAAGGGGTAGGTCTTTACTCCATCCCCATTTATATCCCTGTCATCTTTGGCACCATCACCATATTGACAAAAATGGACCAGATCCCACAGCCACAAGGTGTGCATCCCACACAAGGACAAGGGTACCATGCTCGGTGTGAGGTGGCTGCACCTAGTAACATGCTCTCCAGAACATCCAAGGTGAGTGATGCTTAATCCTGCTGGCATCTTACTCGACTGCAGGAAGAGATGTTTTTGGCAGGGATGCACAGACCCCGGTCAGCCCTGGCTCTGGTGTTCTACGTTAAAGGCACGAGCAGGGCAGGTGGCCCGCAGCTGACCACAGCCGGGTTCCTGCCGTCCCCCAGGCTGTAGGTGTTGAGCAGTGTCCCAGGCACAGCTTCTTCCTGAATCTCAGTGTGTAAGGGGGACATCAGGTGGTGATAGCTGTGAGCCCTGCATGTCTGATGTGGCCTAACCCCTCCAGGCCCAACGGGGCTCCACCCGCCATGCAGATTCCAATGTTCAAGGCATTGTGGATGCCAGAAGTCATGTGAACAAGAGTCCTGGGTCACCTGTCGCCTAGCTGTCCAACTAATGACCAGGAGTCCCTCACAGGGGAAACACATTTAGGCTGGCAGAGATCCTGTAGCTCTTGTCTAGTTCGTGTCCACTTAGGCAGGGACCCGACCTTGTGTTTTCCTTAGTGTCCCAGGGAAAACCTGGCCTGGGGCAGTCCCTGGTTCTTCTGTGGAAGGTGACAATTCTAATTCTACACACCATCATAATAGGAAACAAGTTCAAAGGTGTTTACTCACAGACCCCTGATAGGGAAGATGCCATGATTCAGAGGAGGTGGGGAGAGAGAGAGAGGGAGAGGGAGGAGGAGGGAGAAGGGGGTGGGGAGAGAGAGAGAGAGACATGAATGTGGCAAGTAGCAAACTTTATAGGGAACAGCGTATGGCCACTTGAAGTCCACAGGCAAAAGCCCCATTTAGAGGAAGTGATGGGAGAGCTAGCCCAGCCTGCTGTGTGGTAGAGACCTTTTAAGTTCTCACCCCTGCTCCTCCCCACCCTCGCAGTCCCCGAGGAGGCCATCATGGCCCCACTCCTGTACACCTGCACAGGTGGGCAGCCCTGCCTTGTGTCATCTCAAGAATGGTGGCTTTGTGCATTCAGCCACCTGACTTCTTAGTTCTGAGGTGCCTTTTTTGGCTACTTTAGCTGGTAGCTGAGCAGCTTCTTTAGGACTTCAGTGCTGTTTCTTCCAGGAGTCGTTTTACTATGCCACCATCCACCACAGCTGTACCAGGACCATCTATACCATGGCATTCATATCCTCTTCCAAGCAGATAGAACTTCCTGTGGGTTGCAGGAATGCCATGGCACTGCTAGAAAGGACGTGCTGCTAGGCTCAACGCCTGGGGTCAGCGTGCACTCCCAGGAAAAGCCTGGGCCCTAGCATGGCCGATCATGTACCAGTATGCCCTCAGCCCTGCAGGCTTTCCCATAGCACTCCTGGAGAAGGCACAGCACCAACTCTGTCCTGGTGGTGTGTTCTGTTGTGCCATTCTGGGAAGAGTTCCATGTATAAGGAGTACAGGCACAGTCCGACTGGTCCTCTGCTCAAGGACTCCCAAGGCTGCATTTGGGGGGCACCGAGCTGGGGTCCTTTTCTGTTTGAATCCAGGTCCTCGTGGCTGTGAGACTGAGTCCTCAGCTCCTGGGGGTGCCCCAGGACAGTCCACGTGGTGGTGACTCTTCCCAATCCAGCTAGGGTGGCCTTGGATGTCCTGTGCAGTGACTTCCAGGCCCAGCATGGGATCCAGATGTGGCTGAGACCTGTGTACCCTAGGTGAGGAAGTTCAGCATCCCCATTCGCCACCTCAGTGCAGGGGAAGAGCCACTTCCAATCACCAGAGCTAACATAGCACGTGGGTCCCACACCATCGACCAGCAGGCAGCTCTACAGGGACACAGGCCACCATCCTGGCATGTCCCATGATCAGACCTTGACTTCAGGCAAACCTGCAACCGTGCCAATAGCCTCCCTGTTGATGGTGTCACCATGCACTGACCCTGTCCAGTCCCATAGCCACCCTATGAGGCAGGTCTGATCGCCATCCCCACCCGGTAGCAGTTACCCAGCATCACGCTACTGGCCAGGTCCCTCTTGGACAAGCACCCCTGTCGAGTGCCTGAGTGCCTTGTCCTTTGCTCTCTGAGTGTTTGCTGACTGGCTAACAAACAGTTATGAGCTCTGGGAAGAGGCAAACCAGCCTCCACGTGCTGCAGTGGGTAACCCTGAGGCAGCCTGGACTCAGCACTTGGATGCTGAAGGGTCAGGCGACGCCATGAGATCATCCAAGGAGGGACCTGCGCTGTGCCTGGCCACACTGTGCTGAGTGCACTGCGTGTCTTCTCACTCCCAGTAGCTGTGTTCAGTCAGGTGTTCCCACCCAAGAAGACACAGAGCACCCTCTGCAAAAAAGGCCTGTTTGTACTGTGGAAGTCATCCTTTGGGGTTCTTCAGAAATGCTTGATATTCAATTAGCTATAGCTGTGCAGAATATCCCAGTATGGAAGATGACAAGCTGGCGCCAGGGATGCCGGGGCTGGGCTTGCTGTACACCTGCACTTTCCCATGCTGAACTGCCAGCCCCTGGCCCCTAGCCCTGTCTGTCTTGTGAAGACTCAGCCTTCATACCAGGCTTGCCAGTGTCCCCCTTCCTGCCCTCCTGGGGAGAGGGCCCCAAGCCCCCTCTCACTTTGCCAGCTTCCCCAGCCAGTGAGCCGTGGCTTAGCCCCTGCACACCAGCTTTCACAGAAGACCCATGAGGAGCTGGGCAGGAGGGATGCCCCCAGGCAGGAGGGGAGGCCATGTAGCCATGGCTGAAGACAGCAGGTGGACCGGCCAGCTGGCTGAGGCAGGCCAGCTCTACAGGAGAGGCTCCATGGCCCTGCCCAGGAGTCCATGTAGGAAAGCATCCTTGGCTCGTGAGGAGGTAGGCCATCACTAGGGGATGTGCTGAACCAAGGAAATCAGTAGCAAGTGCTCCTGGCCTCTATGAACTCCTGAACTCCTCCCACCGTCCATGCTTGCAGGAGGCGCAAGAGCAGCAGCCTCCTGGCTGGCTTCCTGGCCTCCTAGCTTGGGCTTCAAAACCGTTAGAATGGGAGAAATTAAGAAATGGAGAGGTTTGGTTTCACCCTGCTGGGGTTATCTGCTGCTGCATTCATAAAGCAGCCCC